TATTAGTATAAATTTGCGATTTTAAGTGTAATTACCGTTATATTGGAGGTGGGCGTGGTAATTGCCCAATTTGAAATACTGCTCAACAGATATCTTAAAGCGGCTTCTGAGACATTTCATCCAAGAGAACGGGGCCACAAACATTTTCCAAAAATTTTTAATTGGCTTATTTTATGCCGAAAATATAATTAACGGAGCCAGTATTTACGGAAATATCGCAGTTTTCGAATTTTTCGAAAATGCCGTTATAGGGGAGGAGGACGTGGTTACTGTCCGCCCATTTTCAATACGAACCTACCATGGGTAAAGCGCAACCTACACATCCAATTTCGTTGATATATCTCAATATTTANATACAGCGGTCATCACACTGACATATGTACGTGATCACAAATGGGCGATACTACACCCTTTTCCCAAAAATCTTAAATAATCGTATTTTTTATTAAGATATTGTTATTTGCGATTTTAAGTGTGATTACTGTTATATTTGGAGGTGGGCGTGGTAATTGCCCAATTTGAAATAATGCTCAACAGATATCTTAAAGCGGCTTCTGAGACATTTCATCCAAGAGAACGGGGCCACAAACATTTTCCAAAAATTTATAATTGGCTTATTTTATGCCGAAAATATAATTAACGGAGCCGGTATTTACGGAAATATCGCAGTTTTCGAATTTTTCGAAATTGCCGTTATAGGGGAGGAGGACGTGGTTACTGTCCGATTCCGCCCATTTTCAATACGAACCTACCATGGGTAAAGCGCAACCTACACATCCAATTTCGTTGATATATCTCAATATTTATTCGGCAAACGGACGGACGACTTTTTTCAGTACATGAATATAAGTATGTCTATATCTATCTCGATTCTTTAAGCCTGTTGGAAAGTAATAATATTACCTTCATGCTCAAGTACGTGCGGGTATAAAAACATTGCGAATATTAAAAAAAAAAAACTTCATGTGATTGCTGGACTGTGCTACTGTAAGTCATACTAAGACTTATCGAATAAGTGTCGCTAAATTTTTAACAAGTTGCATACATAAACACTCTATTTATATTTAAGGTTTTTGAGATACTTACTATTGTAATCAGATTCTGCCCGTATTGGCATACCATAAAAAATTGGGCAACAGTAAGGAAAAAGAAGCTTCCAAAATTAAGAAAACCATAACCATAACCTTCCAGCATGAGCTGAGCAACAATTATGCAAAAGTAGGTGCAGTTTGTTATTAATTTACACAGAAGGGTTGTACCAAAAACTTCATCTAGATCTGCACAGAGACTGCAAAACATTAAAAAAGAAATTGCGAATTAAAAACAAACAAATAAACATCTTTTCATTTGACACAAACTACAGTTTAATTATTTATTTGGCCTTATTTTTGTAGATCTATGTTTACTGAATTAGTTTACATATCTTCATCAGCAATGCCAAAGAATCTATTTGAATTTTTTTAGTTAGTTTGCTTTAAATACGATGACCAACCGTTCTTTATTGTACGGGAGAGTCCAGTTTTCAGCCATAAAGTGAAAAAGAAATTTCTAATTAATGACCAAAAAAACGGTTATATCTTCGATTTAAAAATTTAGAACTATATTTTCGAAAGATGCTTGTAAAAGGATGCCTGCAAAGTTCTAATTCTGAAGCTTTGACGTTTTCTTGGTTATACTTCGTACTGAATGCGTACTGCTAAACATATGGTTTGTAAGCCAAATACTATAGTATCCCTCGACGCCTATGCTTGTATATGTACATTTGTATGTACATACTCAGTACGGCACAGCTCAACCAATTACCTCAGAAAAAAATAATTTTTTTCTAGTTATGTAGCAACTAATTTCAAATTGATGCATAATCACCTAGCAGCCTCATTGAGGCTTTGTAAATAATTCTATATTAGTTGAAAAATCATCTAACTTTGGGCAATTAAGACATCTGCAAAAGAAACATACTGACTTTAATTGAAGTGCTTTAACCCAAATACATTTTAAAGTAATTGAAATCAAATGCAGAGTCGGACAATCGACTTGATGCTTGCACACAATTCAAACTGAACATTTGAAAACACACTTAGTACATACATAAATGTTGTGCCTGTAGCTGAGTGCGCAAANTCGGACAATCGACTTGATGCTTGCACACAATTCAAACTGAACATTTGAAAACACACTTAGTACATACATACATGTTGTGCCTGTAGCTGAGTGCGCAAAGATGCTTGTTACAATTGATTGCGGCCAAGAGTGTCCAGGTTTAAATCTCATTAGGCGGAATATTTCATTTTAAATTTTTATATTCGGTCTTTCTTAATTATGAAACAGCATCTGTGTAGTGCAGAACGAAGCGTATTTAAGCCAAATGCATTTTAAAGTAGTTGAAATCAAATGCAGAGTCGGATAATTGGCTGATGTCTGGGACAACGCCATGTTAAAGTCAAGGAAGAAAGTCAGATCTTCAACTAGTAGGTATGTAGATAAAAAAACTGGTTGAACATCGATATTTAAACTGTTTTCTTTCCGTACTGGGTATGTACGAGGGATGTTTGCAAAGTTCTGGGAATTGGGCTATAATTAAATTACGAAGAACTTATAGGCAATGTTCATGATTCAATAATAGAAAGGTTTTGTAATAAAACAGTCTTCTCGATTGAGCGACAAGTCTTGACATGTTTATGCAACTATCTAGTGCAATATCGTCCAGTCTGATTTACGTGTTCGAGTGATACAGACGCGTTTTCATAGCACTGTTTTTGTAACCATGGAAGACGCAGCAAAATTTGAAAGAGCTATAATTTGCTTTTTGCGAAAAGAAGTTGTGAAAACATCAGAAATTGTTCAGGGGACCACTGCGAAAGGCACTTGTCAAAAAAACGGCCTGGAAAGTTGCATGATCGTCCGCTATTGCAACAGCATAATGCAAGACAACACGAGAAAGACGAATCAGGAAATATCGATAAATTTGCAGAGAAGTAAGTTGGCATTTTGGTGTCACAAAGTGCCAGTTCTTTTCAGGCACTTTCTTCCAAACTAAAATGATTTTCAAACATACTTTGTATACTCTTCTTCTTTAAGCAGCCATTCTTTGAATAAAATCCATTCGTCAATAAAATAGCAATAGCGTTTTTAATTAGTTTTGTGTACTTCACTCATTTTAATCGGGATACAATTGCAAATTTCGAATTTAAATATTCAATCAAAATTATTGTTTTTTCCGCAAAAATTTTAATTAAAAACGGCCTCAATAAAATTGTTGAATAAAAGGATAAATAGTTAAATAAAACAGTGCATAGGAAAATTACACTCACCCAAGCATTAGTTGATGTTTTCTAATCCACTTCCTTAGGAAATCACAGTCTTCCTCTGATTTCTCCATACTTGGTTGATAAGTCTCAAGAGAGTAGCCCAAGTATTCCAACTGCATACATAATTGACCCGAAAATATGCTTATAAATAAATCGGTACCCAAGTTGGTTGTGGAACTAAAGTGACCATTTAAAGACTCCACCATATAAACGGGTATGTAATAACGTGGCGTACAATAGTCGAAGTTGTATGGCATTGGTATTGGATGCAAATATGGATATTCTGCTGCATCATAACCAAAACGATATATATCAATAATATACGTGACAATTGATTGCAACAGCGGGCTAAGCATTATCGATGCAACAACGGCCATATAAGCACAAATCATGACAGGTGCCCTTTGAAAACCGTATATATCAATTTTATATAATTTTTGCTCACTGGCTGTTTGTGGATACTCTGCTGCTAAGAAGTCGTAAATTTGACGTAAACGGTGTGCATTAAAAATAAAATATGCAAACTTCACGTTTGAATCGATGCCATAGGCGATGAAGGCGCCTAAACGGAAACTGTTCAGAATGTCATCTCTTATGACAAGCTCTCGCAGTGACATAAACATATAGATGCGGATACATATGGCGCTGAGGATCATAAATACAAGAACTGCTTTCATAAGTATCTGTCGCCAATAAGGCCGTGGCAACCGTTGAAAGTCGTATCCAACCGCGCGAAATAAAGCATTAGGCCCCCAAAAAACTTGCCCAAAGTCTACGGAATCCATTATTGAATATATAACAGCAACATGCAACAATTCGCAAGATTTAACAAGCTAATATCTCTGAACATATTTCGAAATGTGATATGCTTTTATACTCTGTCATTAATGTGTGGAATGGAGTATATGTATGTACATATGTACATATATATGTAGCACTGGCTACAGTTTGTCTTTGCGGTTAATGCACTTGTGGTTTTGTGACACAAACCAAGCAAGTATTTTAAAGCCTAGAGAAACAGAATATTAAATTAGTCGTATGGCCTTGAAACATTTTTTAGTATTCCATTTTATATACTGGATATTTGAAGCAAAAATTTATTTCGAATTCTGATCACGTTTTCTGTTCATGTTATATGTACATTAGACCATGTAGAAAAAATCATGAAATGCGATCTAAGTATCCTCCATGAATCCCCCCTCTACGATAATTCTAAGAGGTCGGGGATCGAGCCTCCATTTTCCTATAAGAATAATACACGTTTAAAAATGAATTCTTCTATTTTGAGATCAATATAATTTTCTAGGAACAATCAAAACGCTCCTTTTTAATCACTTGCCCTGTTTGGGTCAAATCTAGTTATTCAAAAAAGCTCCTAAACCATTAGCACACACAAGGGGTGGGTTTTCGGGTTCAAACCTCTCCCCCCCCCTAAAGCTAATAACCTGAAATACAAACTGTATCCCAAAGCAAGCTCAAGAAAAATCACAAGAAATATTTTTTATTATAAAGCACTTTGCTTTTGCTGTAAATTTTCTTGAAGATATAAATAAACGAGCATTTTTTTCTTGAGAGATGCAAATTGATTTAAGATATTTTGATAGAAGAAAATTCCTATTCCATTTCTTGTGCGCCATTTTATATGAATTTTTCGTTTTTTTTGAGAGCTCTTAAAAGTTTAACTGCGAATGAAACCTAAAAATATGCAATGCATACTCACTTACTGAGCCTAAAAGAGTTTACAACTGATATGTCCTTAACAAGGATTCGAAGATTTAGTTTGCCCACTTCGAATTCGTTCCACCAAAATTGCCTACATAACAAAAATTCAAGTTCACTTAATTATAAATATTAAAAAAATTAGGCAATCGTAAAAAATCACCATCTCATTCGAAAACCAGAAACCAGATATCGAGGAAAATGAACATTAAAACTCTTTTTTTTTTATTTTTTTTATTACTTTTGCAAGTTGAGCACATCTTGTGTTTATAGAACTTTATATTAAACAAGTAATTTCAAATTACGGGAAGACCCTTGAGGTACCATCTTTCCGATAAAAAAAAAGAATTATTNTCCGACGAATTGATAACCTACCCCTTTTTCGAAGTCGATTAAAAATGTTTGAGTTTTTTGCTAATTTTATGTAAATAAATGCAATTTATGAAACTTCAAAAAGTTTATTTATTTATTACACACTGTACATAAAACTTGCATAAATGTACTTTAATGATCATTTTATCTGAAGCGAATTTTCAGAAGTATAAACCCCTCCCAAAATATATTCCTGGGTGCGCCCCTGTCCTAAACTAATAATATGTTTCGAAAATGTTGTTCACATAAATTCATTAGCGCACACAAGGGGTGGGTTTGGGGTCCTCTTCCTGGTTTTCGAAACACCCTGGGTTTCGAGAGTGTCATCGTCCACCATTATCGATGGCGCTCTTACAGGCTGTAAACTTTCCCATAACATCATCAATCGAGCTTTCGGTGCTTAAGCTCTCCTGAGGGCCTCTGGGAGTAGTTCCCGCAGCTTTTTGTTATAGGGGTCACAATTGTTCTCCTAAAATGTCTAAAGGGGATAGTTTTAGAACGATCTTCGTGCAGAGAAAACTGAATATATGATCCGAGAAGGAGCGATCATCAAGAACCATTCAATCGTAAATGCGGGATATTACAGAAGACGAGGCTGGGGGTAAGGCCAAGATCACTTGCTTGGTCGCAATGCTAAAGTTGGGCTCATTTTCTCTATTACAGATACCTGAGTTTTCACTTAGAATATAATCAAAAAAAGACTCACCCCTCGCGTTGATGTCTGAGCTTCCCAGCACGAGTGCCCCGAATTTGCATTCGATCCAATAACTACATCGGCTTTGCTTCATCTCGCTTCGGCTATGTCGTCATGCGCCATTTATGTGGGTATCAGCCAGAGCTTTCTGGCGCCGTACTCCGGGCTACATAATCTCTCAAACGAATTACCAAGTTTTTTTCAGAAGGCATGCTTTCAATAAAGTAAATTTTATTTTTTCAAACATTTTCGTTTTATTTATTGAATTCTGTTTTTTCTCTGCAATAGAATGCCTAAATCGTTAAACTGTCAGGGATATTCATACATAATTGATGGTTTATACATACATAGTATATGGATGTTAATGAGTATAAATACGTATGCGATTAAGTGACTAAACATTTTCATGCTGCAATATCTGTTATCTTTCATTTAAAAGTCTCTGCGAATGTACATAAAGTATCTACATATGTTTAAGTAGGTAAAAAGTATGGTGTTTGAATTTCTCTTTGACAATTGCATTCGCTCATGGGTTGGGTTTTTAATATTGATAGATTGTGTATTAGATTGGCTGCCGAATTGTACATTACTCTTAGTACTATTAATGATTTTTTTAATCAATGCGATAATGTATAATATTCAATATACATATGTACATATGTATGTACATAAAGGTGGTCCAAAAAAGTAAAGGCGAAATTTTAATGCCCTTACCCCCTAGGAATGCGCTCAAAGTTTTCCATGTATTTTATATGGGGAAAAACAAGTTTTCGTAGAAATGGTATAGAATTCTTGAAAATCAATATTTTTCGATCGGAAAACTTTATTTTTCTGCAGGAGACTTCCAGTAACAATACCCCATTATTATTATTTAACCATTTTCTATTATTAACTATTATTTATAGGAGGCCTGAAAACCTAAAAAATACGATGGGCGATCCATGAAAATACGCTAGTACTTTGTCACATGCATTTTTGGACCACCCTGATGTATGTACATTCATACATATTTGTCTGCATGCATTTTCTTTTGTAATTCAAAACACTTGATAATACTTGTAGTTTTCCACATTCCTAAATTTCAAAAAAAGAAATTCCATTTCGGATACGCAAAACATCTACCTTTACTTGTTCGGTTTCTCCAATAACGCAATGTGTTAAAAACTTTTTCAGTTCTACAATTATGCAGGTAGTATTTTTGAATGCTTTTGAGATTTTTTACTATACATATTATATAAGTATCTATTGTAAGTTATTTAATATTTGCAATTATTTATCTACGCATCAATGAATACACAACACAAGTGATAGTGAGTGACATTAATTATCTAGCTTTACTTATATTCAATATTACATAAATGGCAATATGTACACCTATGGCCCATATAATAGAAGCTCAACATTTTGATTCGTTTTATTATTTATGATTCGTTTGTTTAATGTTCATTAATTTTCTCAAAATTCATTATTTTTGAAAAAACTAGATAAATTCAACAAAATTACACCAAAATTTAAAAGTTTAG